AGACTCCAACCTCCCCCCAAGGAGGCGGAGTCCAGCCTGGGACTCACCCGAGTCTGAATGAACAGAGTAACGGGCGTGGGCAGCTAACCCACAGCTTCCTGGCAGTGGCCCCGAGAGGTGGACTGCTCTCACCAGGTCAGGGGAGACCATTCCAAGCAGTGGTCACCAAGGGATACTGGGAAAAACAGGATGACCTTGCTCACTGATGCCCATAGCCTGAGCACTACAGCTGCACTAGAGGCCCTGGAAAAAGCCACCCCCTGCTACAGACCAGGGCAAGCCCCTCCCCCAGCTTAGCACAGGCCAGGCGCCCCTGCCCTCCGGGCCCTTCTCAACAGCCGCACATACCACGAGGCCGTAGATGTAGGTGAAGGTGGCGGCCGTGGTCACGAGGATGGGCACGGACCAGTCGCTCCAGTAGCCCATGCGGTTGTAGAGGTACCTGCAAGGAGGGGAAGGGGCAGGGTCTGAGCCGATCCAGGGACCCGAGGGACCCACTGGTCAGGAGGGCTGGGAGCACTCACACGGCCAAGGGTCACAGACCAGATGCTCTTTCTATTGCATCCCTGGCAACTTTGCTTAAGTATCTGCTTATGCTGTCCAGCAGAGCAAGTGGGTGAGGGGCCCACAGTAGACTCACAACCCCCCACCCCACAACTGTAAGGTCTCCTAGAGGCCACAGGTGTCATGGGCAAAAGGCGGTGATCAGGGTCTTAGAAGCGAAGCTGCAGTGTCTCAGTGGCCTGTTGCTCAGCTGTCGGGCAGGGGTACTTGCGGTGAGCTCACAATGAAGGACTCTGTCCATCTCCTCAGCTACGGCTCCCTGACATCGGTAAAGCCCCCCCGGAAATGAGATTGCCGATGATCACGTGGCACCCTGATAAATTGAGGAGTCACATTCTACATCACCCACGGTCCTTGCCAATGACTCACGGCTGCAAATTAGCACGTAGGCCCACATTTCTGCACCCACATGCACACTCCTTCCTCCATGTGGCCCATCTCCTTAGGGCAGATTCATACCCACAGAGTTGAGGGTGAAAGGGGACAAACTCTTTAAAGCTCCAGATACTGCCCCGGGGGGCTTTCTGGGAGACTGAACCCCACATCTTTCCTGTGCACCTGGGGAGACGGAGGCTCAGAGAAGGCAGCACCTTGCTCCAGGTCAAGGTCACACGAGAAACACTTGCACACTATCAGCCCTGCTGCCACCTTGGGGCCTGGTGGGGTGGAGGGGAGACCTAGAGGACCCCATGGGGCATCTGCCCTCTCCACGTCCTTCCCAGGACCCTCACCTCCAGATCCCAGGGCAAAGCCCCTGTCTGGAGGAGCGCCGAGTGCACGCAGCTTACGGCACGACTGGGGAACGGGGCCCAGCGAGGGAGGCTCTGCTCTGGTGACTGCTGAAGAGTGTGCGGCCCACAGCCTCCAAGTGTGGCCATTTTTGGAAGGAAGCCCACCTTGCAAGGTAATGGTTCACCCAGCCCGGCCTGACCACCTGGGTCTTGCTCTAAGAGCCTCTCACAAAATGGACGCCTCTCTTCTCAGAGCCCCTTTGTGACCATGCAGGTCGGGCCAGGGTCCTACGCCTCAGCAGGGACCCCCAGAAGCGGAGGTGACACAGAGCTGCAGCCCCTCTCCCCCGGCAACCAGCTTGTCTTTTGAAAGTCCCAGGTCAGACTTTCCCTCAGCAGCCTCCCCAGCTCTGCTTCAGCCTCCGGTGACAAGGAGTCACTCTCGGGGGCCAATGAGGCAGACGGGAGAGCGGGGCCCAGCTGTGTCTCTGGGCCTCGGCTTCCTCAGCCTGCTTCCAATATGTGCACTGACTGGTGCGGCCGTGGGGCGTCCCCCCTGTGCGTGGCGGGTGACAGTCTTTCATAGGTGCTTTTGCACTGACTGGTTGTGTGGCAGCGGCAGGTGAGTTCTGCCTCTCCCACAGGCTCAGTTTCCCCATCTGTATGTGAGGGCCTGGACTGGACCTCCCAGGCAGCAGGTCTCCAGCTCAGCACATGCAATGGATGGGCTGGCAAGGGACACGGCGTGAGCCACCACGCAGCCTGCACGCTGGACAAAGCGAGAGTGAATAACTGATTGATGGCATTTAAGGCAGGGTAGCGGCCACCTCTCTGCCCCTCAGCTGGGGCCCCGGGTCTTGCTGGGCTGCGGTGCTCATGAAAGCCTGGGGCTGTGCAGAGGGAGTGGACCTCGACCTCCATGAATGGAGTCTCAGGGTCCTCTCAGAACCCCAGAACCCCGGCCCACCTAGAGCCTGGCAAGCACCCAGTCCTAGTGCCGGGGCCACTTCCCAGCTGCCAGAGGCCACTGTCGAGGCAGAGCCCTGCCCTCAGGCTCACAGCCAATCAGGCAGGCAGGCCCACCCTGCAGCTCCCGAGTTTGCCTCAGCTCTTGCCCCGGGATCTTTCAAGCCGGCTGCTAAGTCTTCTTTCTCTCCGTGCCCCGGGCTTCAGTCATGTGGGCTGCGTCACAAGAGAACACCAGGGGCCTCCCAGGGGACCCACAGCAATCCGAGTACTCCAAGCCTGCCATCCTTCCAGGCCGGCTCCCATGCCTCCTCCTCCAGGAAGCCTTCCCGAGTCTCCAGTGGGCCTCCCCCAGGGGCACAGCTTTCTCATCTTCCTGGTCCCCGTGATTGCATGGTCCCCCGCATTGCTGCGCCAGGGACTCTGGAGACACAGGGTCCAAGGCTGTCACCTCTTTGGCCAGCCTGTGGAGCTTACCTGCTTCCCAGCTACAGTGCTTATGGTAGTTACATAATCTAGTGTCAATTTTGGACTGGAGAACATTAGGAGTGAAGGGGTGGAGTCTAGTCTGTCAATCGGATCATAGCCAATGAGGCCTCTGTGTTGGCATGGCCTTCCCCTGAGGATTCTGGGAACTCCTGTAATTTCTCCTTGGAGGCGGGAGACTCAATCTCTCTCTCTCTCTCTCCTTGGCTCACTCCCTTGGAGGCTCTCTACTGACAAGGCTGACTCCCTGCGAGACATTTCTGAGAAGCTACATGAAGCTACCCTGAGGCAGTCAAAGTTTCAGCACTGAAGGAAACCATGTGGACACCCCTGCCAGTACTGAGATGCTTACACTGCCACTGGATCCACAAGACTTCCCACTTAGTGGCCTGTGATCTTGTACATTCGGCGTCATTGCATGTGTTTCGTGAGTCTGAAGAGGACTGTATAGCTTGCTATCGGACATATGGGCTAATGCTGGACTTACGGACGTGATCTGGACTGGGTAGGTATGTTTTCTCAATGTTCAACCGCTCTTGTATATAAACCTCTTTCTTACACACATATGAGTGTGTCTATGAATTTGTTTCTCTAGTCTAGCCAGACTAACAGTGTCATGCCAGCTTCACCAGAGCTGGGGAAGTGGACAGGACAGGCTCAGAGGCCTTGTTCAAGGCCACCGAGTGGCAGAGCTCTGATACCAGCCTCGGAGAGAGGCACAGACCCAGGCCCCCCCAGTCCCAGCCGCACCCACTCACCAGTTGAACTCATCGTAGTCGTTGTGGACTTCCCACCAGAAGTAGAGCCAGGTGAGAGTGAGGCCGAAGGTGAAGGTGAGCAGCAGGAACCAGAGGCGTTCCCACTGGAAGAGCAGAGTGAGAGGTGGGGTCACGCCATGTCCAGGCAGGCCACCTCCCACTCGGAACGGGTCTCCTCTCCCTCTCCACCCCCCTCCCCAACTTCGACTGCCAAACCAGACAGGCAGGCACTGCAGCCTTCTCGGCCTGGCTGAGAAACAGAGGCCCCAAGTCACATGGGGAGGGGGCCAGGGGCAGGGCAGGAATCAGGGCTCTGCCCAGAGCTGTGCTCGCTTTGCTGCACCCTCAGTCTTCCGAGTGGTCTCCCATGCTGGCAGTGACCTCCAAAGCAAAGGCGCGACTGCCGGCACACCTGCGGGTCATAGAGTCGCCTCCCCCATCTCAGGTTTTCTGACACACATGCATGTGTGTAGGGGGGGGGACGTGAGGTCTAAGAGAACCCACTTAATTCCTACATGCGCCAACCATGTTCCCCTTCCCAAATTATACCATGACCCCTACCAGGCTCCTCTCTCGGCTTCTCATTCAGCCTTCTGAGTGGCAGCTCTTAATTCTGATCACATAATTCTTTCAAACAGTACACCACTCAAGGAAGACTTGCTCATTGTCAAATTAGTGTCTGGCTTCAAAGACTGACTTCAGGGGAAAGTTCCAGTTTAAGGTTTAAAAATAAATTCATCTCAGGGCAATAGTTTCAGGGATCATCCAACTTTCGTAGCTCCTGAAAGCCTGGGTTCTACGAAACTTGGTCCTCTGTTTCCTCCCCCATGATAAGGATCGTTCTGTAAAATCCCTGATCACAAGGTTCCACCACAGCAGCCGGGCACCACCCAGCTCCTCGGGTGTCCTGGAAAAGAAGGTGGCTGTTCCTGGAGGCGGTTAGCCACAGTCAGCCAGTTGTCCTCTTACTCTGGACTCTCCTGCTGCCGCTGCCCCAGGCGAACAGAAACCAAGGATTGCATCGTGAACCTTGACCTCACTGAATCCTTAAGAGTGCCTACAGAGCAAGTGCTCTCTCTGACGCCTCATCCCTACCTGTGCCACAGGCACACGCACTCAAGCCCGGAGAGGCCAGTGCCTTGCCTGCGTCACACAGCCAGCGAGCAGACGATCAAGAACCAGTGCCCACGTCTTGTCTTCAAGTGTTCAGTGTTGTGTCATTTCTCACCCACCCCCGCCTCCCAAGGGCTGGCCAGGCCCCCTCTGTCTCAGGCAGGGTGGGGAAGGGACGGTGGAGGGGTGCTGACCCCACCACGGCTGCTTCCCGAGGCGCGGGCTCGGAGGTCTGCAGGCGCTTCCGCTGGGGGCCCTCTGGTGTATCCTTGCTTTCATCCGCCCCCTTATCTCAGAAGCACAACAAGCTGGGGACATCCTGCGCCCTGGGAACCCGCTGAGCTCACCAGAACAAAGAGGGAGCACGTGGAGGGGGTCCTGCCTTGCTGGGAGGGCTCTGGGCTTGCAGTCACGAGGCCCCGGCCGCTCTGCCCTGGGCCCAGCTCTAGGAGATGCCCCAGCAAAGAGCAGGGCGGGCTGTGTGCCAGGGAGCAGCTGGGGAGGCAGAAAGGGGCTGTCCTTTGTCCTGCTCCAGGCTTGAGGTTCTGGCCATGCTGCCAGGTCCCAGCCACGCCCTCTCTCCAACCACGCTCACTCTGCCCCGGCCTGGACAAGAGGCAGGGACCTCCCCAGAGATGAGCCCCTTCCTGCCTTGGATTCTTGGGTCCTCCCAATAGCCCCATGTCTGGCCCAGTACAGCTGGTCCAACTGCCCTTTCCCGCTCAAGAGTGCCCACTGGCCGAGCTCCTCGGCCCAACCTTCAGGGCCCACCTGACGTGACCCGTGCCATCTCCTGCCTCTGCCCTGCCTTATCCACTGCCCCCACACCTCTTCCTCTTCCATATCTCAGAGCCTTTGCACAAGTTGTGCCCTCCACCGAGAAGACACTAAGGTAGTTAGTTTATTGTGCCAACTTTGCCGATAAACACATGTGGGGTTAGTTGAAGGACGGAGGGATAAATGGCTCAGTGAGCTTCGCCTTTCTAGTTCTCAGGTCTCTTGCTTTCTGATGATCGGACCAGGGTGCAGCTGCCTTAGTCAGTTCCCTGCTTTATCTGGCAAGGCTTACTTCCTGCAAGACATCCCTAAGAAGCCACATGGACCTATCCCGATGCAGTGTGGACACCCCTGCCAGC